TATCCCTCTTTCTTCCTCTCCATAAAAAGAAAAGCAAAAAATAAAATAAAATATACTTTTTAAAAAAAGGAAAGAAAGAAAAAAAAGCTGGAAATGAAAGGTTAAACCCTCTCTATGCCTGAGGAGATAGATTTTCAGACCTTGGTCTATAGTGGAGGGTTTTGTTTTTTTTTGGGGGGGGGGTTTAGATTTCAAGTTTCTATCATTAATATATTATTGATTTCAGAGAGGAATGGACAGGGAGAGATAGGAACATCACTGATGAGAGAGAATCATTGATTGGCTGTCTTTTGCACGCCCCACACTGGGGATCGAGCCTGTAACCTGGGCATATGTCCTGACCAGGAATCCAACCGTGACCTCTTGGTTCCTAGGTCGATGCTCAACCACAGAGCCAACTGGACAGTGGTTGAGGTTCTTAAACTCTGCTCCAGGGAACAAACCCCTGGGAGACTTCAAAGAGGCACTCAGGGTCCTTGGGAGACCTGGGAGGAAACCTAAGATTCCAGGAAGCATCCCAGGGACTGTGGGCACCCATTCTCCACATTTCCCAGCCCACATCTCACTTCGCATTTAAAAAAAAAATATTTTTATTGATTTTACACAGAGGAATTGAGAGGGATAGAGAGTTAGAAACATCGATGAGAGAGAAATATCGACTAGCTGCCTTTTGCACACCCTGTACTGGGAATGTGCCAGCAACCAAGGTACGTGCCCCTGACCGGAATCGAACCCGGAACCCTTGAGTTCGCAGACTGGCTCTATCCATTGAGCCAAACCAGTTCCGGCTCACTCCGCATTTTGTCATTTGTTCTTCCCCGTGTGATTTTCTTAAGTATAATTTTGTTGTTGTTGTTGATTTCAGAGAGGAAGGGAGAGGGAGAGAGAAACATCAGTGATGAGAGAGAATCATCAGTGATGAGAATCAGCTGCCTCCAGCATGACCCCTACTGGGGATCAAACCTGCAACCCAGGCATGTGCCCTGACCATGTGCCCTGACCGGGAATTGAACTGTGACCTCCTGGTTCACAGCTCAATGCTCAACCACTGAGCCAGGCCAGCTGGGTTCCCAGTGTGATTTTTGTCATCAGAATAAAAATCTAATCTCCGACCAGGTAGCACAGTTGTTGGAGAATTGTCCCCATACTTTGTCTTTCAAAACATGGGGTTTGGAGTTTGATCCTTAGTCAGGGTACATAACAAGAGTCAACCAATTGAATGTGTAAATAAGTGGAATAAAAAGTCTCTCTCTCTCTCTCTCTCTCTCTCTCTCTCTCTCTCTCTCTCTCTCTCCTTTAAAAAACAAAAAGATTAGAATTCTGAGATCTATTTTTTTAAAAACGAAAAAAACTAATCTGGCAGCTATTTGTTTTTAACATAAACTTTGTGCCTGTGTTGCCAATACATTGTCAACAGCTCAGCTTCTTATGCTGTTGGGTTTCTGTCTTACACAAGTCAGGAAGCAGGTCCAGAGAGGAGCCTGGGAAGTGACACTGAGGAGACCCCTCCCTGGGGTCGGTTTTTGTTGGTTAATCCTCACCTGAGGGTATTTTCCATTGATTTTTTTTTTTTTTTTAGGAGTGGAAGGGTGGGGGAGAGGCCTAGAGAAACATCTTTGCCAGAGAGACATGGATTGGTTGCCTCCTGTACGTGTCCGACTAGGGCCTGGGATTGAGCCTGCAATTGAGGTATGGGTCTTTGACCAGAATCGAAATGGGACACTAAAGTCCACAGGCCACAGAGCTCTAATCATTGAGCCAAAAATGGCTAGAGACCAGAGGTTGATTTTGATTTCAGTTTAGACTGGGAATGACCTCTCCAAGGATCTGAGAGGATAAAGTATACACACTGACATAGTGACTTTTCTGCTGGCCCCAAACTGCTCAAGAAAAGAGGATCTCCCCATGGCAAGGCTGGGCATGAGGCACCTTGATTTATGCATCTAGCAAACATTTCCGCTGGGGAGGTCTACCAATGACAATTATGTCACACCCCTTTAATAACCAGAACCAACCTAAACATTTTTAAAAATTTTATTTATTTCAGAGAGTAAGGAAGAGGGAGAGAGAGATAGAAACATCAATGATGAGAGAGAATCATCGATTAGCTGCCTCCTGCACGCTCCCCAGAGGATCGGGCCCTAACCAGACTTGAACCCGAGACCCTTTGGTCCAAAGGCCGACGCTCTATCCACTGAGCCAAACTAGCCAGGGCTTTTATTTTTTCTTTATAATGTTGGCATCATATTGATTTTTTAAAAAAATGTTTAGGTTGGTCCCTCGCCAGTTTGGCTGAATCTCGGGTTTGTTTCTGGTCAGGGGCACATGCCTGGGTTGCAGGTTCAATCCTCAGTGTGGGGCGTACAGGAGGCAGCCAATCAATGGTACTCTCCTCACTGATGTTTCTATCGCTTTCTCTCTCTTCCTCTCTGAAATAAAAATATATTTAAAAAACAAAAGGAAGTCACTTGTAATGTGCATTCCAATATGTGAATGTCCATTTTAACCTCATCAGCAGGTAATTATCCCAGTCCCAGTTGTGCTTGTGAGGACTAAGCAACAGCTGGCAGTGCAGACTGACCACAGGTAGTGGTGTTGTAACCTGGGTACTTCTAGTGTTGCAGAAAACCAGAGAAGAACCAAGCAATGCTTAGAGAAATGGAATCACTATTATAACGTGCAGGCTCAGAGAAAAATGCCTTTCAAATTCTGGGCAAAAAACATGGAAGAAATTTCCCTATTTATATGCTTTTACCTTCTTTGTTTCCCAAATATGATTTGTTTGTTTTTTCCTATCCCCTTTGCAAGTTCTTAAAGAGCCCTAAGTGCTGGGGCTTTGAGACTTCAACCAAAGGCTTGGCCTGACGTCAGCACTGATAACTTCCCCTGGGGGAAGGTTTATGGTCTCTTTGGAATGGGAGTAGTCTTATTTTCCTTATTATTTAAGCAAGCAAGTAAGCATTTACAGAAGCCAAAATAACAATTAAAATTTCAAACAGCAGTTTTGATATAAGATGGGTGCTTCACTAGCAGCATCGACATGAACTTTTTCAGCCTATATGTATACTTAAAGTGCACATTTTATTTTGCTTATACTAAGTTCTAGGCCATAGGTTCTATTCATTCAATAAGAATGTTTTGAGAACCGTCAAACTTTGTTTCTCGAACATCTCCCATCCTGAACAATTCGGTTCTAGAACAAGTGAAAATATGTCTCTGTTGTTGAGCCAAACTTCGGTTTGGGACCTGACAATCCTTTCAGGCTTGACAAAAAGCAGCTTTCAGGTAACAAAGGAGAGAAGAATGCTTTTGTTGCTGGCAGAAATTGATGGTTAGCACAACTTTATAACATAAAAAACGCCATAGAGAGTGCTAATGTTGCCCTAGCTAGTTTGGCCTGAAGGGTCCCAGCTTCAATGCCAGATCTAGTGCAGATAATCATGGTTGCAGGCTTGATCCCAGCCCTGACTGGGGCACGTGTGGGAGGCAACCAATCAATGGGTCTCTCTCATTCTGTTTCTTCCCTTCCACTCTCTTAAAAAAAAACATGAATGGGTGAGATCATGTATTTATCTTTCACTGACTGGCTTATTTCTCTCATTTGTGGAACATAAAGAACATTATATACTGATGAACAAAAATAGATACAGAGGCAAAGAAGCATCGAACAGACTGTCAAACTACAGGGGAAGGCAGGAGAGGGTTAGGGAGGGGGGCAGATAAGAGATCAACCGAAGGACTTGTAGGCATGCATATAAGCTTAACCAATGGACACAAGACACTTGGGGCTGGAGGGAGAAGGGAGGGAATGTGCCTGGAGTGAGGGTGGGGATAAAGGAGGGAGCAGGGGGATAGGGGAGGAGGTCTATGGGGGAAAAAAGACATGTAGTAGTATTTGTAATACTTTAGACAATAAAATGAGATTTATAAACTAATACGAAAAATATCCTGGTGTGAGGATTAACAACAAAAACATTAAATTAAAAAAAAAAATACTACTGATGTTGCTAGGAGTGTGTAAGATAAGCTGGGTTATGTTCCAGTACCATCCCTGGTTTGATAAATTTTAGAAAAGAAGTGTTTATTTAAAAGAAGATTAAGCAGTACATTAGACATGTACTATATATAAGAAAGTTTAAAACGGAATAATTTGGGGGTCTGGAATGGATTAATTTAATTTATATTATTTCTAATGGGAAACAATGATTAGATTTTCTAACAAACGGTTTCTCAAACATCCTTCTGAACGAATTAAGTTTGAGAACCGAGGTTCCATTGTGTTTATTAGAACTTTTCTGGGGCTAGAACTTGCTTCCTCACCTCCTGGTCTTGGCTACTAAATCAATGATGCTTAATTGGACCATTTTAAAAAATTGCAATTTCCCATCCCTCTCCCCTACATTATTTATTCTCCCCCCACAAAGCATTTATCCTATGAGAAGTTTTTCTTGCTTTGTCCCAAGTTCCTAAAAAACTGCCTGGTTAAGAGTAAAGTAAGAGCTCAATAAAGATTTGATTTAATTTTGTAATGACGACATCTCCCCAAGAGAGGGCCCCCCAACAGCAACTATTTCCCGGAAAGACTCAACTGCGCTGGGGAACCAAGGGCTCAGATGGGAGAAACTGCCTGTGAGGATATTCTGTGCTGGGCCTGGGACTCAGTCTTATGTCTTCCCCACCCAGTGCAGTCCCTGGAAGAAGAACGCCTGCTGCTCAGTCAACACCAGCCTGGAAGCCCATAAGGATGTCTCCTACCTGTACAACTTCAACTGGGACCACTGCGGCCCCATGAAACCCGCCTGCAAGCGCCACTTCATCCAGGACACCTGCCTGTATGAGTGCTCCCCCAACCTGGGGCCCTGGATCCAGGAGGTATGACTTCCTCCCCATGCCGCTTCCCAAACATCTCCTGATCCTGCCTCTGCAGCTCTGGGGCTCTCTAAGGCTGGGCTACTGAGAATCCTGGGCCTGAGTCCCTTTCCCCTACCGACATCTCCCAGGTGAACCAGAGCTGGCGCAAAGAGCGGATCCTGAATGTGCCCCTGTGCAAAGAGGACTGTGAGAGCTGGTGGGAAGACTGCCGCACCTCTTACACCTGCAAGAGTAACTGGCACAAGGGCTGGAACTGGACCTCAGGTGAGAGCCTGGTGGGTGGGGAGAGAGGGATTAGGAGGGGAGGCTGGGGTGTGAGATGGGTATATTAAGGGACAGTTGAGAAGTTGGCAGAACCAGACATAGTTTAGGGTCCAATGGCTGAAGGGCTTCCATCCTCCCACAGGGATTAATGAGTGCCCGGTGAAGAATACCTGCCACCGCTTTGATTTCTACTTCCCCACGCCTGCTGCTCTGTGCAACGAAATCTGGAGTCACTCCTTCAAAGTCAGCAACTACAGCCGAGGCAGTGGCCGCTGCATCCAGATGTGGTTTGACCCGGCACAGGGCAACCCCAACGAGGAGGTGGCCAGGTTCTATGCAGAGGCCATGATGAATGGAGCTGAGCTCCATGGGGCCTGGCCTCTCCTGCTTGGCCTGGTCCTGCTCCTGCTGCTCAGCTGAGCTCCTTTTACCTTCTGATACCTGGTCATCCCCACACAGTTCAGCCTTGTGGCTCAACTCCCATGGTGGGAGCTCTGTCCAACAGTTTGAATAAACCTGCACGTCTCTTGCAAATGATTTGGGTGTGAATAGGGATGTGACTTCTGCTTCCCTGTTGCCATTGACTGACACTTGGTCAGTTCCCAGCTCTGATACTTGCTAGGAATTTGTCAGACACTTACCTATTCTTCTAATCAAAGACATTGATTAGAAGTTCAATTTCATTTTTCACTGTAGAGTCAGGCCCAGCACTTTGTCATTTGAATTGGACCAAAGCCTCCCAGGGTTGACTGTTCTGTCCTGAGCTCAGCTCTTCAGTAGAAGAGAGGGAATGGGAGTGACCAGCATGTTCTGGATGCTGGCTGGGAAGAAGTGAAAGGGGCCAGCAAGAGCCATACCTCTATACAGCTAATACCCCCAAGTCACTCCCTGCCAGGCATTTTCCTAAATGCTTTATGTTTATTCCCATAAGGTGTAGATGCTATGGTTTGCATTTACATATGTGAAAACAGGCCCATGAATTAAGGGACATGGTCAAAGCCATCCCCTGCATGAGAGCTGGGCTTGCACTCCAGGCAATCTGGCTGTTGGGAACAAGCTCTGCCCCTTGTGAAGTGGATGAATGTGTGCATCTTAAAGGGATACTGCACCCACGTCTGACCAGAGGAGCTGGGCCTGAGCTGCCCTGGCAGAGCTAGGACTGGTTCCCAATCCTAGAACAGGTTCCAAACCAATGAGTTGACAGATATGTGGGCATTGATCTCACATTAAGTGTAGTTTGTAGCAGTTGTGATAAGCTGGGTTATGTTCCAGTACCATCCCTGAGATCTCAGTGGCTTATCACAACTAACATTTACTGGTATATCTTGCTCAAGCTACAGTGATTAATGTGGGTTGTCAGGGGGATACTGCTGGGCACTCAGCGAGGCAGGCTGATGGAGGCTCCATCTGGTCATACACTTTTATGAGACAGGAATAGGGAACTTGGTGAATTCCATACCGGCTGTTAAAACTTCCACACATCACAAGTATTTCAAAGAGGATGGGAGAGGGAGAGAGAGAAGTATCAATGTTGAGAGAGAATTATTTTTTAAATATATTTTATTTTATAGAGAGGAAGGAAGAGATAGTTATAAACATTGATGAGAGAAACATCGATCAGCTGCCTCCTGCACCCCCCCCCCCACTGGAGATGTGCCCGCAATCAAGGTACATGCTCTTGACCAGAATCGAACCCGGGACCCTTCAGTCCATAGGCTGACACTCTATCCACTGAGACAAAATGGTTTGGTAAGAGAATTATTGATCGACTGCCTCCTGCACATCCCCTACCGGGGATTGAACTAGCAACCAGGGCATGCACCCTGACCAGGAATCAAACCATGGTTCATAGGTCAATAGTCAACCACAGAGTCACACTGGCCTGGTACCCACCTATCACTAGTATTTTGTTGGCCAGCTTATGTTATGACCATGACTAACTTCAAAGAGGCCAGGGAAGTACAATCCTACATGTACCTGGAAGGAGAGGGGGATCAGAATGTTTGTCAACAGACCTAATGACTACTACAAAGACTGTTATGCTATGGTCAGTATATTTCTGGCAGGTCATAGTTATAAATGTATTTTTTGGGTTTGGTTTTGATAAGAAGGAGGACGACCACATGGAAAGTGGTACAATCTACTGGCTACCACCCTAAATAGTCTTGCGAACACAGTCAATTGATGTATTATATTCTCTACAGAATTTGTGACACTTTACAAATATGGCATTTTTTTAAAATTTATTTTTTTAGCCGGGACCGGTTTGGCTCAGTGGATAGAGCGTCGGCCTGCGGACTGAAAGGTCCCGGGTTCGATTCCGGACAAGGGCATGTACCTTGGTTGCGGGCACATCCCCAGTGTGGGGTGTGCAAGAGGCAGCTGATTGATGATTCTCTTTCATCGATGTTTCTAACTCTCTATCCCTCTCTCTTCCTCTCTGTGAAAAAAAAAAAATCAATAAAATATATTTAAAAAAAAAAAATAAATAAATAAATAAATAAATAAAAAAAAAAATAAAATTTATTTTTTTAAATATATTTTATTGATTTTGTACAGAGAGGAAGGGAGATACAGAGTTAGAAACATCGATGAGAGAGAGTCATCGATCAGCTGCCTCTTGCACACCCCCTACTGGGGATATGCCTGCAACCAAGGTACATGCCCTTGACTGGAATCGAACCCGGGACCTTTCAGTCCCCAAGCCGATGCTCTTATCCATTGAGCCAAACCGGTTTCGGCATATATTTTTTTAAAATCAATCTTTATTGTTCATATTACAAAGGTTCCTCATTTCTTCCCCCCTCCACCAGGTTCCCACCCCACCCTCCGCCCCCTCCCCATCCCCCATTGTCCTCATCCATAGATGCACAGTTTATGTTCAGTCTCTTCTTCCCTCCCTTTCCCCAATAGTAAATCCCTTTTCAGATAGTAAATCAGTTACTTAGCATTTTCTCATATCAATAATACCTCCACATGCCCAATGATACACTTCACACAAAAGACATTTCCCAATAGGTCAACTAGCCTCATCCAGGACCCACCCAAGGCACTCACAGATCAACACCCCAGCCCTATACTAACTCAACACATCCAGATCTAAGCCTTCATCACTTGATTCAGCAGACCCTCAAGTTCCCGCGAAAGTTTCCAGCCATGTCTGAGAGGCAGCCGTGGGGCAGGGGCAGGCGAGGAGCGAGCTGTTCCGGGCCTGGCTGCTCAGGGCCTGGCCTCTGTTGCTCTGGTTCATTCCACAACCAGCTGCTCCGGGTCTGGTCACTGCCGCTTGCGACCTAGTTGCTCTGGACTTGGCTGCTGCTGCTCCAGGCCTGGCCGCACCAGACCCGGTTCCTCCGGGCCTGGCCGCTCCCAGCCTGGCAGCCGCTGCTCCAGGCCTGGCCGCACCCGACCCGGCTGCTCTGGGCCCGACTGCCCCGGGCCCGGCCGCTCTGAGCCTGGCCACTCCCGACCTGGATGCTCTGGGCTTGGCTACTGCTGTTCTGGGTCTGGCTGCTCCCACCCCGGCTTCTCCGGGCCCGGCCACTCCGGGTCTGGGTGTTCCTGGACTGGCCACCCTGGGCTTGGCCGCCTCCGCCTCAGGCCTGGCTGCCACTGCCCCAGGTCTGGCTGCTCCAGTGCTGGCTGTTGATGCTCTGGTTCTGGCTGCTGCTGCTCTGGGGCCTGGCCGTTGCTGCTCCGGGCCTGGCTGCCACTGCCTTGTGCCTGGCCACTCTAGGCCTGGCCGCCGCTGTTCCAACATTCTGTCCTTTTTTTTCTTTTTTTTTTTTTTAAAAACGCATTTATGTTGCAATGTTGGCTGGTGAGTTGAGTTCTGACTTAGTCTTTGATTTTTCAAGAACTTCATTGTATTCTTTCTTAAGTAATTTTACTATCTTTTGCTCTCACTTGATTTCTTCACATTGAGAACTTCTTTGGTTTCTTCCTCCTTGTCCTGAGAGCTCAGCAGGTTGGCCTGTGGCACCCCTTTGTTCTCTGCGGGCTCCTGCGCTGCTTCAGCCTGTTGCCGGGGACGGCGCTGCCCAGGAAGCAGCCCCCAGCCTTGGCTCCATTGCCCGCACTCAGTGGTCAAAGGCTCAGGGCACCCACCCCCCCAGGGGCCCCGTCCCCCGCCTCCTTGCTGGTGCCCGGTTGGCCGGTGTCCGGCAGGGGCTCCTGCTCCTCGTCGCGTTCCCCCAGCCCGGAGCTTTTTTTCTCCTTCCCGCTAGGGGAGTCCAGCATCAGAGTCAACAGACTGTCCTCTGCACGCAGTGTGCACGAGTCCAGGGGCCCGGCCTTTCGCCGCTCTCCTCAGACTCCACCTCACAGCCCTGTCTCCCTCTGCCTGAGCCTGGGTTCCCAGGGATTGGCCCAGAACTGGGGTTCGGAGCAGTCCGGACTGAAGCTCAGCACCACCAGAGGCCTTGTTTCTTCCGGCTAGGGTAACCCAGCATCAGAGTCAACATTCAGTCCTCTGCGTGCGCGTGGGGGGGGCCCTGCTTTTCGCCGCTCTTCTGGGATTCCGCCTCACAGCCCCGTCTCCCCCTGCCCGAGCCTGGGTCTCCAGGGTCTGGCCCATAACTGGGGCTCAGCGCTGCCGGTTCAGGGGTTCAGCCCAGGCTGGGGGTTTTATTTCCTTCCTGCTAGGGAACGCCAGGCAGCACCCAGCCCTTTCCTCCTCTCCGGCTGCGACCCCTCCATGCGCGCGTGTGGGCGGGCGCGCAGCATGTCTCTGTACCTTATGCTTTTTTTCTGCTCCTCTGATTTTCCTTCTGGTTTTCTCTTTCCTTCTTGTTGTAGAATTTTCAGTCAGTCGACTACCTGTAGCTCTGGGCAATGTCCACTCTACATTTTAGTTGTATTCCATTGAAATTGTTGTGTGCTGCCGCGGTTAGATGTCTACCCGAGCAGCCATCTTGGATCTCCCCCAAATATGGCATATTTATAGATGTAATAAAGGCCCCATGCACAAAATTCATGCAAGGGGTACGGCCCTTGCAGCCATAGCCCTGGCTTCACCCAGAAGGTCATCCAGAAGGACATTCGGCTATCCAGCCTAAATATCATATTATGCTTTTATTATTATAGATTAAAATTACTGAAATTTAAGACTAGAATCACCTCAATCCAACATACCTTATCAAAGGTCTACTGTGCTGATTGTGAATCATTTATAAAAATATGTGGCCTTAGCCATTCATGGGTCAATGCTCAACTACTGAGTAATTTAAAAGACAACAGATTGGAGGAAATATTTGCCAAACACAAGTCTGATAAAAGGTTTGTATCCATACTATGCAAAGAATGGCAATCTATATATGTATAAAAGCCTAAGTGACTGGAACAACTGGTAGCTATGATACACGCTGACCACTAGGGTGCAGACACTCAACAAAGGAGCTGCCCCCTGGCGTTCAGAGCGC